AACCAACATCCATTTGTGGACGACTCCTTTCCACCAGTCCCAAAATCCCTTTTCTACAACTCATCAGAAAAGAAGGAGTCTAGGGTTACACAGTGGTTACGTCCACATGAAATTGTTGCAGATTCTGATGCAAGAAATGTAAAATGGGCTGTTTTTAGAACACCATTGCCTTCGGATATTTCTCAAGGTAATTTTGCGTTGTCTCTCATCCATAAGATTCTGGTGATGCACATTTAGATCTATTCATGTTTATTATATCCTGATTGAAATTTATTTATAGATGACTAGCAGGAAATTTACTTAATTTTAATTTGCAGGTGTTTTAGGAGTTGTTTGGTTGTTGAGGTGGTCTTGCGAGTGTTGTGCGGAGGTATTGATAGGAGAAACTTGAGTGCGCCAGAGAGATCTTGGTGTGAGACGCAGCTGCCCTTTTTGTCCCCAGAGCCGGCGATTTTGGATGTCCAGGTGAGAGTCCTATGGTGTCAGCGCCGCCGAGTGCAGATACGCGTGGTGGATGCCTATGATTAGACTCTTGTAGTCGTTCCTAGTGTCTGTGAGCGTGCTGTCCAGTGTCAGGGTGCGGGAGGCGGATCAGGGCTCGCTGTGCGCGAGACCTGTAGCTGATCCAGCAGTAGCTCTTATCCGCGGGAGGTTGCACCTACGTCATGATGGGTCCAGAACCCGGCGGTACTACGATTCGGGGCTTGGTCATGTGCGTAGTGTGGGTGTGTGTTTCAGGGGCATGAAGGAAGTTGAATTTATGGTACTATTGAAGTTAGTGTTGCGTTTGTGTGGTGATGTGTGATGTGTGAGTGTGTCGTGGTGTACGTGTTATATACTTATCGCATAATTCTAAACGACATGTGGTCTGACCCATATAAGCCAATTTGTTATCCTGAAATGGATAACCTGTGATGTACTAATCATGGTTCACGAGTCTTCTAGGTTAGGGTTCTGGTAGGTTGAAACAGAGGTCGTTGGAGTCGCTGTACTTAGTGTTGGATTTCGGCTTTGCTACGACCCTAACTTGGATTGGTGATCAGCTCCGGAGGGGGCACCTAGTTGATTATCTCCAGCCCGCATAAAGCGGCAGTTCGGACCCAGCAGTCAATGTCCCTGTTTGGGGGGGTGTCTTGGATTGAAAAGGCTGTTGCCAAGGTTCATGCGGTTGTTATGAGAGCTTTGTGTGTCTGGACGTGCAATTGAAGGGCTTGCAACATTAACAGGTGCTCCTTGTGAAAGCCTTCCACTGCAGGTAACTTTAGAAATTATTTTCTATATATCCATCTTTTCCTATAGGCTTTTTCACTCAATTAACAAATGATTATTGTATAATCATTAATTAATTAATGATAGAAATTCAGTGTTGGAAATACTTCTCCGAATCTCTCTGTCTCTCTCTCTCCTATCTCTCTCTCTCTCTGGTCATTCTCTCTCTCTCTTCTCCCTCTCTTTCTCTCGTCTCGTCTCTCTCCTCTCTCTGTTCCTCGTCTCTCTCTCCTGTCTGTCTCTCTTCTCTCGTCTCTCTCTCTTCTTCGCTCTCTCGTACATCCTCTTCCCGTTCTCCCTCTCTCCCTCTCTCCTCTCCGCTCTCCCTCTCCTCACCTCTCCTCTCCCACTGCTCGCCCCTCCCTCCTCTCCCCTCTCTCCTCCTCCCCCCGTCCTCTCCCTCTCTGTCATCATCCTCCTCGTCTCTCTGATCTCTTCTCTCTCCTCTCTCTCTCGTCTCTGCTCCTCTCTCTCTCTCCTCTCTTTCTCTTCTCTCCTCTTCCTCTTCTCTCTCTCTCCCTCTCCTCTCCCGGTCGTCGGCCTCTAC